AAAGGGCAGGCATGTTCAGGCGTAGAAATGCTTCTGAAGTCTCATCTTGGCATTCAGGACCAGGCAGACCAGTTTTCTGGAGTAAATCATACATGCATCAGAGTCAGTGAATTTTGTGATCTATAATTAAAACTATAATAGCATTACAAAACAATCATTTATTTGATTATATCATCATTAACTTATTAGCATTAAAGTGGAATATTTATTTTAGTAATTTATAAAATTCGGAGCATAAAATTTTCTGAGTGTAATCAAGGGGAAAAAAAAGGTAAACTAAAATCTAGAAGCACTCAGATTTTACATTACGCCCAAAAGGAACCTTTTTTAACGTTTTGTGCGTTACCTATATTTATTGAATATCATGTTCTTCGCACGTAAACCACATACATTTGAAAACAGCATATCTTTAGATTTTCCGCACTAGAGATAAAACTGTTATTTCCTGTAGAGTGCTCGCTCTGAACTCGTTGAATTTGTTAATCAAAAATTCGTTAAAGTTTAAAAAATATGAAATAGATTTAAACAAATTCGAAATTCGGCCGTTCAGATGCCCATGTTCGGGTGGAGGATTACATTATTCAAAATTTGATGGCTCTAGATACCGTCGTTTTTGTCACAGTGCGAGAAACATACATGTATTCATGCAGATTCTTCATTATTTAATTTCTTTAAATATAATACAAGGCGATAACATTTGGTAACAACAATTTGCAAAGAGACACGGACATTTATAGTGAAACAGCGCAAAATGCCGCTTCGAGCTAATAAATTAAATTAACAGTAAATAAAAAAAATCTTATGCAGAACTAAAAATAAATAAAAAATAATCACTATAAAATACAAGCAAAATTAATTATTACGGTTAAATACAATTTTAATATTAGAATTAAATGTATAAAAATTTTTAAGGAGTCAAAAGCATTTATCACTATGATGTATTATGAAATATAGTTGAAATAAAATTCCTTTATAGAAATTGGGCTATAATACTCATCTATAATTTTAAAAAAGCAGCACAATTTAGAATTTTAAACAAAACTTTCAAAAATTTGTTTTTAAATATTTTAGCATTTTTTATTTATTTACACCAATAAAAAGCATAAAAATTGCTTGTTTGAAATTTTCTATTAGTTCAGATTTAAAATGTTATTTTCTAAAAGAAGTAGTTACAAATTTAAAAGAAAAGAAAAAAGCTAAAAGAAAATCCAGCCCTGAAAGCATGCAATAGCTTTATAATTATTTGGAACGTTAATTATGCTTGATAAATATGCTAAATTTTTAAAGATCAACCTCAGTTTCAAAAATAAAAATATGTAGAAATTCTAATTTGTGAAATGAAGCCCTACAACCAGCTTTTTCTTGACAATTATACACGCTGCAATAGGCAACCAATGTTAAATTTCTGCAAGTCGTCCCTACTCCTCCGGATGAGATCAAGGTGACAGTCGGCAACGCCTCAGACGAGGGAGAAAACCCGTTTGGGTTAGTCTATTTCTTATAAGGTCCATGATATAAGAGTATTAACTCATCTCTCCTACTTCCCGAGTAAACTCCTTGTCAGGAACCGGTGGCAGAAGCGTCTGTGTGACGCAAACTATATTGTCAACTTCCGCAGTCTGTGGATATTTTGGTGAAGAGCTGCTGCTATGACCTTGCTGCGATTATTATATTTTATTTATATATAGATGTCTCTTCCCTTTTCCTGCGGTAACGTAGAAGCAATTACTTCCTCCCACAATTGAATTATGTTTGTGGGGTTACACTGTTTGTGATTCCGCCAAGTTTTGCCAACTCTGAGCTATGAAGATATGTGGGATTCAAGGAAGGGAAAGTAGTCTCCTAAGTGAGCTACTTAAGGGTACACTAAAGTAAGCTCATGATCATGTGCAAGGGCATGATCGTTATCACGTGAATGCGATGTCCTGTCATTGGTCGCTGTGTTGTGGTTTCTCTAGCGTTTGGGGAGCTTAACATCATAACTACACTTTAAAGCGTTTTCATAATAAATTATTATGTAATGTAATACTGCTTTATATTATATTACGTCACATTTAATAATATTACATTACATTACGTTCCATTTTATTACTTTATATAGCATTACATTTTATTATTTTATATTGCATTACATTCTGTTATATTACATTTTATAAGGTGTGCATTACATTACGTTATATTATATTACATTGTATTATATTTCAGTAATTTCTACGGTACGTTATGTTATATTACGTTATGTTGTATTATATTACATTACGCTGCATTACATTATATTATGTTTACATTACATTACATAATATTATATTACATTACACTGCATTACATTATGTCTATATTACATTATATTTATGTTATATGACACTACAGTACATTATATTACATCATATTACGTTATATTATGCTGTGTTATATTACATTATATTGTAATATTACATTGCTACGCGATTAAAAAAAATTGGTGATTGCTAACCTAATATATAGTAGTATTTCTCTTAATCAGTAACAATGGGACTGCGCCGATACCGATGAGAGATTTTTACGTATAACTAAATATATATTTCTAGAAATGAACTGATCCTGTTTTCTGATGCCTTTTAAAGAAACTGCTAGAAGCAAAGACCGTAGTAATTTGGGTTTTTTTTATCTTTTGGATACTATTAAGTAAATCATACGGATCATTATTTAAAATTAGAATGCACACACGTGATTTTTTATTTCAGAAAAACAAGAATTTAAAATTACCTTAAATATTATGATATAAAAGTTACAAATTTCTTAGGATTCTTCATTCCTTCTTTCTTTGAATGTCTGCCTGCTTACGAGATTGTTGCCGGATTGCTGAGATTGTTGTGTTGTTGTTAAATTTTGCTTTGTACGTAATGAGGCTTCATAGCACCATCTAATAACATAAATGAACATTGCTCGGCATATCTTATGAAAAGTCCTTCGTCAACTTCCTTCCACGTAACTTTTTTCTTTTGAGTGTCGTTTTCATCTTCTTCCTACCCCTCCTTTTCATCATCTTTCTCCTTTCCCACTATATGTAAGATTATTCGTCGTCATCGTCAGAGAGTGTGACGGGAACAGAATTATCTACATTCCAAGTTGTACATCTCCTCTTTACTAACACTAAACTTCTCTGAACATGTAACTAAAGATATCAGCCACTCTCATCGGATATGTTTTAAAACCAAGAAAAATCTTCAAAAGAGCGTAATCCTTAATTTTATGTTTGTTTCTTCTTGTAGCTTTACTTTCCTTAAACATCAAGATAAATATTTGCGGTAAAACGAATTCAGGTGGTATTTGCTATGATATTACGATTGTTGAGAGATTTATAGAGGGTTTTACACATTTTTGGAATGGTTTCAGAACCGTTTGTTCGATCAGAAGACTGTTCTTTGGAGTAAACGTTTGCATCGTTATTCCCAGGATAGAAAAGGTTTTCTTAATTGTTTTGATTTCCATTCCTCTTCCTCTACTTTCTAGAGTTCATCCATCATGGTGGGCTTGCACTAAGAAAGAGCGCTTTTCGAGAGACTGAAGGCGCAGTAGTTCGTAGGTGAAACGTCAGAGACTTTGTTATTTAGCCTTTTTTTAGTTGTCAATCTTGGTTTATTATTCTATTTATTGTTGCTACAGATATATTTAAAGACTTTATGACTACAGATATATTTAAAGCTGACTTTATTGTGCTACAGATATATTTAAAGGCAATTGATTTTTGAATCGGAGAATTTTCTGTTGTTATCGACGATTTAACTTCAGAAAAACAGTACATACCTTTTTCAGGTATTCATCTGGAGTCATCTTTCCACTTAGAAGGTAATGATTGACGGTTTTCTTCGTATTGCTATATATTGCTTATAATATTGCTTATTTTGCACTTCGAAATTTTAATACCGTGTATTTTGCAACGTTTTAGAGTTATGAAATAGGAATACTTCTTTTCGCGAAGAGAAAAACATATCCTTCAATACACAGCTTGTTTCCATGCGACATTTTGAAAGAAGAATAAATTTTACAGTAGCAGACGATATTTTTTATTTCGAATAATAAGGCTATTATCAGAAATTTTTATTCCAAAACATTTGCTCTTTAAAAAAATTCTTTCTCGAAATCATTCTAAAAATGTATAAATATCCTCTGTATTTTATTAAAAGTCATGCTACTGGTTTACCGAGAGCGTTTATTTACTATAGCAGGCCTCACTGTGTTGGAAATGCGAGGAGCTGAAATTACTTCATTATCTTGCAAAACCTGTTTTTATTTGTTACAGATCAGCCTAAATTGTTCTAAATTTTACTTACATGCATTAAAAACCATCTTTTATTGAAACATTTAGTGCTTTTTAAAGGTTATTCGTTTTCATTACTGCGTTATAAAGTCTCTGCACGACTCGTTTCTTTCACATTGTCGCGCATTATCTTAAAATATACTGTGTGCATTAACTCCCGTGTGACTATGCATATTCAAAAGCCATTACCGCACTCGTTGGTTGACTGCCTACTTATTTTAAGCCATCTTCAAGGTTATGTCATTACTTGCTTGTTTTAAAATATTTTTAACATCACTCGGATAATATTTTGTTATTTTATTCAAGCCTTAATTGCTATAATAAAATTTATTTCTGTGATTTACTTTTTAAGACACATTTTCAACGTTGTTATTGGTTTGGTACGCATTATAAAGATCAACTCCGTAAAACTAAGTGTCTGAATAAGCATATTCTATGTTGGAAGTTTTAATCAACGGAAGACGTATAGGGGATACTAAGGAACCGCCTGCAGTGATGTCGTTATGATTCGTCTTTAATTTTATAAGGAAGAAAGAGTTAAGTTCATAAATCGCCAAAGCGCGCTCGTGATGCAGTTTTTTCGCCCCGTGCGATATTTTGGCACGGTTCCCGCTTCTTATTCTATTTTAGTCTTCTCCATCAGCCACTTCGTTCGAAGTCTTTTATTTAGACACTTCGGCAGTGGAGCAGTTGGTTTTGGTCTAAATGGTGTTTGTTGCTTCTCCTGCATGCTTTACGATGCATTGCTATCTGCGGATCGTTGTCTAAACAAAGCGGATTCCAAGCGCGACTGAGCGGAAGATTTAATTGCAGCTTTTATCGGCTTTTTGTTTACTGGCATCGATTTTGAACAGGTATTCGCCATTTATACCCAGCAAGAAATAATAATTTTGTGAATATTGTTAGTGGTTTTGCAGTGAGAGGATTTACCTCTACAGATAAATCATATGCAAAAACATTTTAAAAATTTGAAACATAAATGCTTGGATGCGAAAATAGTGCTAATTTTCTTTTCTGTTCTTGACTAACCTGAATGAATATTTTCATAAATAGCTGTTTAAGAACAGAACAACCTTATCTGCTCTTCCTCATCTTTGGAGTGGTTGTCTTTTCTAATGGAGTTCCATCATCAAGTGGTCATCAAATGACAGTCGTGTTTTGAAATGATCGATGGCTCAGTTTCAACAATTTGAAAGCAAACATTTGTGATTTCTGCTGGACTGTGTTAAGTCACGCGCCCTTCATTGCGTGTTTGATAAGTGATCTGGCACTGAATGAATGATTTCTTAGGTCTTCATTTGTCTTCAGAGTTGTTCAGTGACATGCTATTGTTTAATTTTGAACGTAGATGAGGTGGCAAACGTGAGCGAAACGCAAACAGCTAGAGAAACATCGTGTGCCTAAATACAGGAACTGATGTATGGAGCACCTACATCACTGAGTTGAAAAGTGTTTGGAAGGTCTGTTGTTCTCATGATGCCTGTTGTAACAAAGGTAAGCAGGTCTCTTGATCATTAACGTGTGGTTAATTTTGTTATGCAAGAATATATAAACTGCACATAAATAAGTTAAATATAACATTAAGACTAAGAATATGAGCAAAAATTTTAAAAAAAAAAATAGTTTATTACATTTACGTTTTATTATTTTTTGTATTATTATTATTATCATACAAATATAAATAAGTTTTCAGAATTAAAATAACAGATTCTAATCCCCATTTGACAAGAATGTTTTTAACAAGTTTCAACGGCCGTTTATGGATGAAAGAATAGGCGCGGATTTTGCTGTGCTTCATTAGTTTCGCATTCTTCTTATTTTTTCTTGTGCTTTTTCGTTTTCTTACGCGTTACTTTTTTATATTGCACTTATTGCAAAAAAATTATATATATTAAAAAAATACATTGTTAATTTTTAAAATATATTAAAATTTTTTATTTATTTTCTCCTTATTTTTATTTATTTTATGTTATTACTTTCTACGAATATTTTATAGCTGGTCTGCTGCGCGAAGCGCAATTTTATCAGCTGAGATGAAATTTGGTCTCTTCAGCGCCAGTAATATTCACGTTGAATATTACTTGAAAGTACGTTCCGTAGAAACGGAAGTTTGAAAACGTCAAAGAAAAGCGTGACTCTTTGTCACAGTGTATGAGGACCTGCAAAAAAGCAAAATTTCTTCTTTACTATCACCAACAAGTATCTGGACGCCTGTGATAAAAATAAAAACAAAATTTATTCATATTCAATATTTGGTAGGGCGTTCACGAGCGTCAGTTACAGCCTCAAGTGCAGCAGGCATTGGCATTGAACTTACCATGAATTTGGACCAAGTGTTGCAGTCCATACCAGGAGAAACATTTCCAGACCATAATTCCACTTTCGCCGAACATTACTGTAGGCACAATGCATTCTAGAAGGAAGTGTTCTGCAGACAAACCCCAGACCCAGACCCTGCCATCCGAACGGTAGAGTATAAACCTTGATTCGCTCCAGAGAAGTCGGTTCCACTTGTCTACGGTTCCCTGTCGACGCGCTTTGCACCATATTAATTGAGCAGCATGGACTTTGTAATCAAAGGCTAATAGGCAGCAACACGAACACGAAAACCAAGCAGATGTCTTCCTTACAGATGGTATTCATCAAAACAATACGTCCGGATGCTTGTTGAAACTTCTGGAGTATGTGGGCCATTGGTTGGGTGCAGTTCCTTCGAATTTCTCTGGACAACACCTATTGTTCTCTGTCTCCCAGTTTCGGGGGTCTGCCGACTCGGGGCACATTCCGACACTCACCACTCACCTTGCACTTCTGAATTACATAGGCCACAGCCGATTTTGGGTAATTTACCTCATTAGATATGACCCTTAAGGATCGGCCATTTCTGTGATACTCGACGATTACACCTTTCTAGAAATCAGATGAACTCTGCATTTCATGACATCTTGCATGTGACTAGTGCCAATATTGTTTTCTACACCATATTAAACGGCGGATGGCGTGACGTTTATCAGATATCGGTATTTGCATGGGTGTCCAAATATTTATTGGTAAATTTTTTCATCGGTAGATCGTGTAGCTTCATATCACTAATCAATTTATTATCAATTTTGTTAATTAATTTGATTTGGCTATCGAGCCCCAATCTACACTTTGATTTCAATGACCCCTTTTAAAATTTCATCGACCCCCAAGGGCTCATTATCGACCTCATTGAGAATCCCGGTTTTAATTAAATTGCTTACATATTTGTGTTGCATACGATATATATATATATATATATATATATATATATAACTTATATATTTTAAATAAGTTCTTTGAATTATGTTGTTATTTAAAAAAATTTATTTAATTAAATTTAAATAAAATTTTTAAATAAATTGCTAACAGAATTACATTAAATACTATAATAAACAAAAATTCAAGTTAAATTTTTTTAACAGAGTGTTTATAAAAGAATGGTGCGGTTTTAAAACTTGATAATAAATCGATGTATTCCTTTACTCGTTATAAAACCTACACCATAAACATGGGCAACTGTAAGTTTCTCATGCGCTACCTGCTGTTTGCTTGTCATGCTTACTGCGCAGCCGCAGCGTCAGCTTCCAAAATGGCGTCGCAACAGGAAAAGGCTTTCTGTGTGCTCCGTTTTGAAGTGTCCAGATCCGTGGTTACAGTGCAGCTTGAAATTCGTGCGCGGTTGCAGAAATACCTACCGCACAAGAACAACATAAGTAAGTGGTAGAGACAATTCGTGAAAATTGGATGCCTTTATAAAGGCAAGAGTTCTTGTCGACGTCTTGTGTCTGATGCAAACGTTGAGAAAGTGCGCGAGGCGTTTCAGCGAAGTTCTCGCAAGTCACTTAGTAAAGCAAGCGGGGAATTGGGGATGCCAAAGAATAACATGTGGAAGGCGTTGCTTAAGCGGCTATGTTTTAAACCTTTCAAAGTGGGATTAGGTAGCACCGACAGACAAGTGAAAAGGCTTTAACGTTTGTGAAAAGATGAATGTCATATATTATCGATCCTTTGATCAATTCATCTTTGTCGGTTCGTTTCTATCCCCTTATGAATGTTATTAGTCAACTCTATTTGCAGGAAATAAACTGGGACACTTATGCAGGTTTAACAATAACATGAGCTGTATTTTAATTTTGTAAATACAGTTTAACTTCACAAAGTATTGCTTTTATTCACATTTACATCAAACGCACAAGTAATACATTGCATCTCTCAGCTCTTTAAAAAAAAAAAAAAAAAAAAAAAAAAAAAAAAAAACAAGAAAGACCAACTCTACTCTCGGAATACAGTCAAACTAATTTCAAATTTTTTTTTCACGAGCATGCCGTTCTTCTCGCATCAAGCACGTTTCTTCTTCTCGTTGCCAGATTTTCCCCTCTCCTTTCAGATAAACTGTTTTTTTCACACGAGCATGCCGTCCTTCTCACATCAAGCACGCTTCTTCTTTTCGTTGCCAGATTTTCTCCTCTCTCCTTTCAGCTATAAGTCGTTGGCTTTCAGCTATAAGTCTGTTTCTTCCGGCAGGGTTTGGATCGGTAGCTTCCTCATAGCCAAGTATGTGCATGACACGCCCCTGCCAAGAATGAAATTTGTCCTTTCTTTGGGACGTATTTCATTAATCAATATCCAAGGCAAATTTTCTGTACATTACTTTTACACAATACCAACCTCGTACAGTATTAAATAAAACAAAACAAAACAGAACAAGCAAAAAATTATTACAATCATACAAATAAACAAAGAAAAAGAAAAAGAAAAAAACTATCAAATTATATTATCATATCATATTTGATCCAGACGTGAGAGTGCATCTGCACTTTGGTGCTGGATCCCTGGCCTATGACTAATCCGTAAGTTCCATTTCTGCAATGCCAAGAGCCCACCTCGTCAATTTGGGACTTCGAGGAGTAGTTTCATTCAAATATCTGAGAGGGTTGTGATCCGTTATAATTTCTACCTGAGCCCCATAGATCCATTTATCAAATTTATTCAGGCCAAATAAGACTGCCCAAGCTTCCTTCTCAATGCTTGCCCAATTTTCTCTGAGTTTGAGAAAGCTTTTGGACTTGCAAATGCAATAGGACAATAGTTACCACTCTCGTCTATCTGGGTTAAACAGCAAGCCTACCGCCAAATTGGATGCATCACAATGGATCTGAAATGGCTTTCCAATATTTGGTGTGGCCAGAGATGTCACTTGGCACAAAGTATCCTTTAATTTGTTAAAAAAGCATTCTGTTCCAACTTCCCCCCCATAGAACAATATTGGCATGCCTCTTCTTAGTCAACTCTGTCAATGGTGCCGATATTTCTGCATAATTGGGAATATAAGATCGATAAAATCCCATTAATCCTAAAACCGATCTCACATCTTTTTTTGTGACTGGCCTGACGAGTTTTCTAATTGCTTTGACCCTTTTTCTTCATCAGGACCATGTGCTTGCCTCCTCCAATTATATGCCCCAAATATTTGATTTTTTTTTAGCTGCAAAAGTACATTTGTCCAAACGTACAGAAAATCCTAATTTTTTTCTAAAGTTTCCAGAACCAGAGAAATGTGTTTCAAGTGTTCCTCAAATGTTTTCGAGAAAATCACCACATCATCTATATATGCCTGAGCATAATCACTATGACTCTGCAAAGCACAATTCACTTTCCTTCTGGAATGTCCCCGAGGCTCCTGATAAGCCGAAAGGACATTGTTCTCCACTGGTACACTCCATTACATGTTGCAAATGCAGTCAAGGGTTTGCTCTTTTCATCCATTCGGATTTGCCAATACCCTTTTCGAAGGTCGATGCTTGTCAGCCAGTTTGCTGCACCCGCCACAAAAATCAATTCCTTGCATGTCTTTCATGGGAATGTTGGAGTTTTTCGTTACAGCATTCAATGATCTAAAATCTATACACATTCTAACTGTAGCATCGTTTTTCGCCACACAAACTATAGGATGAGCAATTTCTGACTCAGAAGGTTCAATTAATCCAGTTATAGCAATTCTAGCAACTCACGAATTTATTCTGCTCATCTACTGCTTTGCGGTATGCCATGGGTATTCCATAGCAGTGGGGTTTCTTCCTAATAGCAGTAGGAATAAGTTCGATCTTGTGTGTACCTACTCGTGCTGGTTGCACTGGACGCTTGTAAATAATAACAATGTTTGATATTTCCTCAGTAACCCTAAAAGTTTACTCCTTTGGACCTGAATCTAAATTAGACATTTCTAATCCTTCCAGAGATTCAGAAAAACTCTTTTCTCCCTTGTTGACAGGTGTAGATTCAATTTCCCCAAACTCTTCTTCCCTCCTCCAAGATAACATTTACTGCTTGGGATCTAACTACATAAGGTCTAATCTTATTCTGATGAACATGTCTTTTGGTCCCCATCGGGCATTTGTACTACACAAATGAGTGAGAACTTCTCTGTTCCAATATATACTTGCAGGACCCTGCCACCTAGCATAAAGCTT